CCTCACAGGAAGCAACTGTCTGCTGTTTGGATGCCACTGCATGTTTATTTTAGTGTTTTTTCCTCATAAGCAGTTTACTACTATGAAACAGAACCCAGGTCATCACCTCTGTAACCTGAAACCAGTTTCTTGCCTTTATTGAACTAAGTTGCAGTGAAAAATTATGGGCAGGCTTCTGTACTATTTGAAAGTGGCATTTTCAATTTTAGCAACTTTGGAGAGCATTATCTTGACCAAAAACACTGTCTCAATGTGGACAGAAGGCCAAAACGGAGATAAAAAGATTTTCTTTTTTGTTTTTTGTTTTCAAACAAAAATGTATTAGCGTGGACATGGCCTAAGATGCACTTAGAAACCGTGGGAAGGAAGAACTCCATTTTAACAGGAAGAGATATTCAGCAGAGCCTGTTAACCATACTTGTTCCCAACCTGTGCAGGTCTGGTCTAATCAGCTAACCTACCTCAAACAACACCTGCATTGCTGTATTCAGGGTTTGGAGTAAAGTGACCACTAACCACGTGATGTTAACTTGTCCGCCACTTTGGACGTGTGACAATTATGGTGGCATTGCAGGAAATAGTGAATAAGGACCGAGCCACACAGACCTAGACACTAGCACCCTTTGAAACAGGTTGGCAGCGGCGCGAAGGCATAAATTTTACGTTGAAGGTGAAGTTTCTCCATTTTCCAGGTTGCGTCACAGTTTTATTACCGCTCAGGTAGCAGTTAGCGAGTTTTTGCAGACAAACGTGGCAAACTACGGGCAACCAAAGAAATCGGTAAGAGGTTTTCGGTGCAGCACTTTCTTTGCAGATGATTTCATCCAGTGAGAGCCTTATATGGCACTTTTCTACTCGAACACTCAAAGAGCTTTGTACATTCAAACGAGCACTTTGCTCAAAGCTTAATCACTTTCTGTATAACAGTTCCAATCCAATGAACACATCAGAGAACCACTTGGGGTTCAATATCTTGCCCAAGGATACTTTGGCATGCAGGGATTGAACCTCGAACGGTTCGATTAATAGATGAACTGCTCTACCTCTGAGTTCGACCCACCCGAAATATAGTAATGTGCACATGTCAGTGGGAAACCTCAAAGGGACCCCTGCCTGTTAGTGAATAAATATCTATTTGGATTGGGATCGTGCTTCTTTTCAGGACCCAAGAATTTAACAGCCAGTCTAAAGCTGAACTCTGATTGGATGCGTCAGTTGCTACAGAGGTCCTGGGACATGGTGGCTCCACTCCTGCCCGAACCTTCTTCCTCACAAAGCACCAGAGACCACCAAACAACAATCATCATCATCTTCTTTTCTTCTTCTTTGAGTTGCTCCGTTCAAGCGTCATCACAGCAGCTCGTCTTCATTTCATGCATGACCTTAAAATAACTGAAATAACCATCATGGCTTCTAAAGTAATGATCTGCACTTTTTGCAACCTTTTATGTTCTTGTAAGAGTTTGTATTCATTTAAGAAAAAATCTGTATTTTATAATAAAAATTTACGAAAATCATGCATTTAAAATGCTTTCAGTGCTGCGAGGTACCTCGTCTTGTCTGTCTGGTTTCATCATTTACCTTGGAGGACGCTATTTGCTCGTGTACATGCCTCAGTTACTGAAGCGTAAAGGTCAAGTCACCTAAGAGCTGTTATACATCACATCCCGCCTGATGCCGAGGCACGCCATCGATCCCAGGCATGGTAATCACACTGAAAACCATACCACCTGACACGCTGTAGCCCATTTACACATCGCACATGAAGCGCGAGCACCTCGGGGTGCTCTGCTGTCCGTCTTTGTCTCTGACAGGGCGATCCCCTCCCTTCTGCCCCGTAATGGATTTACTCCCATCTCTCCGAGCACGTTGGCCTTGGGGCAAAGCATTGGCTCGTCCCCTGATTGACAGCTGCTGATAGCGGGTTGAGAGCTTGTTGCCAGGGGCTACAGGGGGACACCCTGCATCCACACATGCAGTTGCCATGGAAATAGGGAGTTCAGGCCTTCTGCCTGCAGATGGCAACGCTGCACTCCGAGTCAGGAGGGAGATGAGACCGGGGTACGAGGGCGGCACGGCGAATCGGCGGCTGTCTCTCAAAGAGAGAGCGTGGGTTCGATTTTGCGGTTTGCACAGTTCACCCCGGCTTCACCTCAGAACCCCCCCCCAGGTGCTGCTTTCAATTACACACACATCAGGTGGAGAATCTGCACATTTGCACTCTTCCTAGGCATCGGTGAAAATGTCTGCTGCCGGTCTCTGCGCTGCTGCACATCAATCCTTCATTTTTTCCCCTCTTCTGTACATTATCTGATCATTTTTTATCGCTCAACACTGCAACTGCTGCAAGAGCATGAAAAACAATCCATCTATTAAAAATCACAAAAACCTGTCCTGTTTCTCAGCTGTTAGGCCACATGAGATAGGCTGTTTTTCCCCGGCTTCCTTCTGCTGTCTGACACAGACCATGTGAACCTGTGAACTGAACCATATTTGGAAGGGGTGTGTGCACGCAGCTCTAACCACTTTCATTTACAGTGGCTTCATATCTGATTTCCTCCTCAGCATGCACATTTTTCCCTCCCAGATGAGCAAAGTCAGGCTGACAGCTACTCGTACGTGGAACACAGTTTCAGCTTCTGTTTCACATTCAATTCCTCTGGCTGTCTCTGTGTGGACAGGAGTCATCAACAGCTTGGAGGGTTTCTTTCTCTCTCTCTTTCTCTCATACACACACATCTGTAATGGGCAGGAGATGAGAAGGGAAGCAAGTTGAGGTGAAACCTACCACTGTTCCCATGTAGTCACCCTCTGCTGCTGCTGCTGCTGGGGTCAGTTTGCAGTATTTCCCACCTGAGTGACAAATACTGCAAAGCACTACTGGTTCTGTGAAGCTCAAAAGAAACAGAGCCCCTCTGCACGTCTCACATCTCCCGTCCTTATGCACTCTCCTCAGCCCGGGATTATTGCATTGTGACAGGCTGCTTACATGCAAGCAGCTGTAATGAACGTGAACCACTTGAAGCTTAGAGGAAACAGCAGCATTGCATCTGATTGCATCCTCCGAGCTGCTCCGTGAGAAACGCAGTCAGCTGCCGCCGGATATTTGATTTATTCAGCTCTCAGATCCGGTGCGATACCCACCGGGCGGTGCGCTGTGCAGCAAGCGCGGTTCCCACTGATCTTTCAGTACACCGTGTTCCGTATAGTGTGGAGTCAAACAAGGACACGGCGTCTGAGGAATCAGTTAATACCACCTTAAATTTGGATTAAATTTGCATAATAGTGTTTTAACAGAGACACGCCGGGACAGTTTGTTGTTGCTGTGCAGCAGAAAAGCCTCCAAAGTGCAGAAACACGTCACGCTTCGTGTTTTTCTCGCACACATTCCGCTACAATTTAAAGCGTGATACCTTAAAGGTTTCACACACTCCTTTGGTTCCTGGCCAATAGGTTTCGGAGGCGTTCAGGAACTGTGGGGAATATAGCAACTCTTCAGCGAGCCTTCATTGATGAGCAAGACAAAAAAAAGTCACTAAACTCCTTTTTATGGAGGCTTGCATTCGCCGAACAAAACAAACAAACAAAGAAACTAGAGTTATCGCAGAATCTCAAATTCCATTTATTTTTCGACTTATTAGTTACAAATCATTTTCTTTCAGTTTTAACTTAATCAGTTGACATTTCAAGTCGTTTTCTCTTCCTTTTAGTTATTTTTTAAAATTCACAGTTATATTCTCAATAATAACTCTAAATTGTAATTTATTTTAAAGATTTTTCCCCTCAGTAGGTTCAGCTTGTAAATCAATATTTTTGAACTACCTAAATCAACATTTTGAGATAATAACCTGATTTTCTAAATTAATTATGGATATTAATAGACTTAGTCACAGTAGGCTTTTAGTATTTTTTACTATTATTTTTGTTTGTATTATTTTTAGATTTGGTTTTGGCTTTGAGTAATTTTAATGTCAATGTACAAAATGACCACAGACTGTATATAAAAGATGGAACTAGCCACTATAATATCAGTTACTGGTTTCTGGACAATATCAGTTTATTTATTTATTTATTTTTTATCTTGGACTCAGGAGTAACCAGAGGTTTGGACAAAAGCTAGTGGTGCTAAGCTATCAGCTCATTTTAGCAAGCACGGTTACCAAGTTAAATCCACTAACTGTCCACCTCAATGACTGATTCTTCAGATGTGTTTTATGTATATGTATCACATGGACATTTAGCTTGTAGCTGATGAAGGTGGTTGATGGTCTGTATTGCACAGTATTAGACACATATTCAGATTAGATCCATGATGCGTCGTGGAGGGACGCATCATGGATCTAGTAACTCCAGTTAGCTGAGGTCTACTTTACAGTTTGGTTGGGGCAGCATGTCAGTAATCGTACTTAGTATTTCAAATGACATTAAGGTAACATAAAACAGGTCCCGTCGCAGCAATGTTAAAAAAATAATTTTGTGAATTTGTTACATTTATGATGTGATTAAGGTTACATTTCATAAAGTCTCACTGTGACATTATTTTTTCTATAACGTTGAAAAAAAAGTGCTTGTGTGGTTAATTCGTGAACACAGAGCAATGCTGTCACAACGCCGCGTGTTGCAAACATATCAGTTTATGACCAAATGCAACAGTTGCATTATGTAATGTGCTTCTAGGTTTCTAGTGTTTTCTAGAGCTGCCTATTTTTGGGACACCTTTCCCCTAAATAAATGAGGTATTTAAGAGAAAAAACTCCTTTATTTATAACCACCCATCTGTTATCAAGGGGGAAACTATCCAGGGAAACTGTTTACTGCACTATCATTCTTCATGTAAACATGCGTTTCAACTTGAACACTTTAAATGAGATCTGTGCGAAGAACCTGGAAGTCACGAGCCACCGCTCGTGAACGAGGTGGGATTGTAGGTATGCAGATTCCCAGCCAGCGTGAACGCAGCACAGTTGTGAGATCAGCTGATTTTTTACGCTGCCATTTTGTCCAGCACAGGAGCGAGCATTCAGCCAGTCAGTGAGTGCGCAAAGAGAAACCACTGGCGAGACTTTCCATACGGCGGCATCGGACCGAACTGTCTGTAAGAAAAATAAAAAAATAAAAAAAGAACAACGGGAGCCAGTAATGTGGTGACGGCAGACGGAGGGAAGCACCAAACTGAGCCCGAGGACCGTGAAGGGAAACAGGCGAGCTAAGGGAGCTGTCAGGGAGGTTTTTTTTGTTTCTTTTTTTTTTAAACTCAGCGGCTCCGCCGGCTCGGCTCCCCGGTCACAGACCACAGGAACCCGCTCTCTCTCTACCCGCCCGCCTGGCTGGCTGGCTGGCTGGTTGGCTTTAGCTAACCCTGCTAGCATCTCGGCTAACCCCCACCGCCGCTCCTCGCGTCTCCTCTCACCGTGGGAAACTGCAACTGTCCCGGCTGTCAGTGTCACACCGTCCTCCTGTAAACTTCAAACAATGTGCTGCTCCTGTCCGAAAGACTTTTTACGCCCAAGGGACGATTTAACGCACACTTCGCCAAGCGACCAGTGATAGCTGAGCTGCGGTCCAAGCTAACAAGTTGACGTGGAAGAGGAACTCTATTTTTTTAAACTGTTTTCCAAGCTGTGATTTCACCAGGATTACTTTCCCCCTCTGCCCAGCCCGAGTTGGACTCGACTTTTTGGTGACTCCGGGTTACAAAGCAGCCAGTTAGCTATGTTTATTTGTGGCCAGAAAGTAATTTCAAGTGTTTGCGGATTCCACAGTGGGACTCTCTCTTGGTTCGAGTACTGCAACGGAAACATTAGCTAACACAGACTGGCTCGTGTTGTGTTTACTGCATAAATAGATAGATAGACGGAACAAACAGTTGCCAAACATTTTTTTGTTTCATTTTTAAATTTAGATTGTAGTTAAACAGATTGTTCTTGTACCTGTCGTGAGCTGACATTGCTGCACAGGTTGTGTGGAAGACAGTGTGTGTCTGAGTGTGTGTGCGATCCCTGCTCTCTGTTACCTCCACTTGACTGTGAAGTCACGTTGAGTTGATCCATTGATCGGATCGTTATTGTACTATTTTCGCTGATTGAAGGGGGGAAAAGAAAAAAGTCGGTGCGATGTCGGGCCAATCTATCACGGATCGGATCACAGCAGCTCAGCACAGCATGACCGGGTCGGCTATCAGCAAGGCTGTGTGCAAAGCCACCACGCATGAAGTGAGCGGACCGAAGAAGAAGCACCTTGACTGTGAGTAGACCCCCCTCCACACATCATTCCCCTCCCCTTGTATCTGTCCTCTTCTTCACTGTAACCTGGCTGTGGTTGGACAGTCCAGTCCAATCAGCTAGATTAGACAGCAAATGGTGTTTTTCTGTCACATATGTGTATGGCTGTAATGGCTGGTGCTCCTATTAAAGATCCACAAAGTTTCAAGTCAAAATCCCAGGCTTGGCAGTGGTTGAAACCCTCATTTTTTTCTACTCTTGGCTCTCTATGACATCACTGAGAGATACTATCCCTAATATGGGCTTCTCTGGAATGAGCACCTCCTGCCCCACCCTCCACCAATGAAATCTGAAGCCCTACAAGCTGCATTTCCTTCAATGGGCACTTGATGCTGGCTTCATAGAACCCCATGTTAAAATATCCAACTTTACAGTAAAAATAAATAGTGTTGTGGTTTACATATTTGCCAGGGACCATGGAGAGTTTTCACGCTCTTAAAGGCCACTGGTTACATCACACGGTGACAGTGAGATTAATAGACAACCACGTGCACTTATGCTTGCCATGTAGCTCTTCTGTACAGCAAAACTTTCAAGGTTACAAAAATGGAGAGGTGCACAACTGGCTAAAACGATGCCAAAACGCGGCTTGTGCCAGCAGATGTGATGCCACTTATGCCATACGCCGCTGGTCGCAAGGGCGAACATAGTGGACCCCTTAAGTCGTACCCCTCAAAGGTGTATGCTCAGCCTGACTGCCACTAAATAAAATCACTGAAGTGGGTTGTTTGAACCCATTTGTGCTGTTGGTGCCTTTATAATTATGATGGCAGTAACCAAAACGCCAACATTAAGGCTTGAAACTTGCAAGTTGAACACCACTGGGTGACTTCAAAGTGGCTACATTGGTCTTTTTTGCTGACTGTGGATCAAACCTTCTGTTTGTGAGAAGCAGCCAATCAGAGGAAAGTTGGCATTTAAAGGGAGAGGAGGTAGAACAGCTTATTTCAGCATTTATTTTGAATGGTCAGTCACGCAAAGCTGTGCTATATTCATGTGATTTGCAAAGCACAGAACTGTGTGCATATGTTTCCTGGTGACTGCAGCAAAGAAGCGACTGAGGTGTAACTTTAATTGGGTTCATGTCCTCAGGAATAGAGAGGAGGCATCACAGCCAGCAGGTGAAGCAGTCTCTAGATGTCCCTGCTGTTTTTTGAAATGTGTCATTCCTGATTTGTTCAGTCAGTCTCTCAGGCATTCAAACTACAGTTGGGAGAACATCTGAACATCAAGCCAGCTCACTGTTTTAGATGATGTGTCACTCTGGAAGGTGTTGAAAAGTTTACTCTTGACTTTTTGGCCATCCTTTTTTATAAAATTCACCCACACCGGTGACTTCTGAGACAATATGCTGCTTAGTTTGAAGTCGATTCTGACTTGAACCTTAAATAGATTAGACCTGGCACTCTCTGTTAGGTTAGGCGAGTACAAAGCTGTGAAGAAGAAAAAAAATTCACAGCTTCTCTCGTCTTCCTGTCGCCAAAAATAATAGATCAGTCCTGAAAGATTGGACAAGTAGGCTCCCGTCTACAGTTCTGTGTAAAATGAGTTCTTAAAACTCAGAGATGCTAAGTTTTACTATCAAAAATGGGGATACACTCATACATCAGATAACTGTTAAATGATATCAGCTCATCATCAAGCACAGTTTACTGATGTCAGTGGCTGATAGCTTTCTTTGTCGCATAAATTGTGGGCATAACTCTAGGCATGGGTGGAAAATCGATTCAGCACAGTGTCTCAATATTGAATTGATAGAGGGATGCCAAATATCAATATTTTATTAAATAAATCCAAATAAATAAACTGAAATACTACTGGGAATACTACTTTACTAACAAGATGACCCATCTCACTTCCCTCCTGAAATAGGTTCAGCTAAGGCATCAAACACATTTTGCTTGGCAGAGTATATGAATACCAGCTTGACTCCATTCAATCGTAGACTGATATCGGTCTGTTTCTCTACTAGTTAAATGTTCTGTGTGGAAAATTGCTGGAAGAATTTCAAACACACCATGTACTTTCGTGAAGAATAGCTTTTGTTTCCAGAGAGGGTAACAAATAAGAAAACAAATAAAAATAAGGTCCATGTTGATGTTGGCCAAGATTTTCACAGTTGGTGTGTCCCGAACCCAAATTGCCAAACAAACCATAGAATTGTCACATTTCAGGACCTTAGACCTGGATGTTTGAGTTTTATTGCTTGAAAATGAGTGAAATCTATCAAATGGGAATTTTAAAAAAAGTTAACTGTTTCCCTATGATAGCAAGAATTCCTTAGCTATCTTAACTATAATCACTTCCCGTCTGTTCTGGAGAACCACCAAGTGCCTTTTTAATGAAAAGCTTTGATAGTTTGTTTATTTGTTTAATCATGTTAGAATATTTCAGCCTTCTTGAGCTCCCTAAGCAGCATTTAAGAGCTTAAAACCATAGATCTGTCAGGGTCGGGGCAAGGTCAGTTTGAAATGAGGTGGTGTTTGAGTTGGGCACTACACCCAACATTGGTTATAGATAGACACTTAAAAGAAGAAGTTAGGGTTAGGTCAAGCTGTTGGGTTGGCTTTAAATGCCATTGTTGGTTAGGGTTGGACACCACACCCAATGTGTTGAAGGTCAGGTTAAACTGTTGGGTCACATGTAATTGAGTTTCGTAAGCTAGGTTTGGATACAAAACCCAAGGTGGTTGGGCTTAGATTCAGAGTCGGCAGCAGACCATTTAAACTGGAGGGGCAACCAACTTTAAACAGGAGAGTAATTGGCTTAAGCCTATTTGCTGTTCTAACCAAAACAACTATATACACCTAATATACTCAGAGAGAAACGTAGCCACCCAAAATGATAAAAGCCCCAACCAGTCAGGGCAGATGATTGCCCGTCCTTAAGCCTGCTTCTGGTGTAAGGTTCTTCCTATTAAAAGGGAGTTTTACCTTCCTGTGGTCACCAAAATGTTGGGGTTTACTCTGTTTTATTTGAGTGTCTTTGTGATTTGGTGTTATGTAAATACAACTTTATCTGTTAGATTGTAGAGAAAAAGCAGTAGAAAAACACATTTTCTCTGTCGGTGCAAAGGTGGATCAATGAACCCATTACACCCTGACATAGCTTGGTGTGAGTGCACAATCCTCAGTACATTTCCATTTGTTTTGCAGTTTCTCACCTCAGACATTTATAATTATGATAATCTGATGTGCACCTCCCTAGAAATGTAACTACAGGTCTGCTCTATGTAGCTCACCACTATTGTGAGTGGGCTGTTCAGCACAGTCGATTCCTCATGTGCATTTCTGCTTTTTTTGTAGTTTTTAAATGTATCAGTGAGAGAATAACAATCAATACAAAGGTAATAATCATAGCATCAGTATGATGCGCAAATGTCGCCAAATTCTTGGAGGGAGATTGCTAAAACTGTTTGGAGGGAAGTGGGGGAATGTACATGGAAGTGGAAAAACTAGAGGGACGTAATGTAGGGAATGTCGTACGTTAGACAAAGATTGCTCAGAGGAATCCAATTCAGGGCTTGGACATCATAGGGTTAAATTGAGATGCCGTTTGGGTTTTCTGCTTGTCAAAATTTAAACAGTAACCGTCTAAATGGTTAGTGTTAACATTTTTGTCAGCTGACTAATCATGCCAGCACCTGTTCTTATTTGTGAAGCTCTAATCAGCCAATACATTACTTCAATCAAAGGCATCTGGTGTTTTGGGGTCTGGCGCCGATACGCAGCTCTTGTAGCCAGTTCCTTTAGTACGGACTTCAAGAAGAGTCGTAGACAGACATAACACAGCAAGTGATAAAAGTCTCGAGGTCCCAGAAGGATGCATTGTGGTTATCTTGTTTTCAAGGAGAGCATAAATCTCTCAAATGCCTCACAGATCATGGGAGAAACATGACATTTCTTCATATGGCAGCTTTGATGGCCTTTATTTGTTGGGAAATCCCCCTCATAGACACTTTCAGGTGCAGCAGCGCAGAGCACATTGTACTCCCATCGCCTTTTAGATTAGAAATTGATTCCTGATTGTCACCTTATGCCCTATCTTGGTCATAAAGAGTGAATGACCATGTTTCATTGCCAGTGGCATCCCTCAAATTAAACCTGAGTCATGTCGAAGGTGGCTGTGATGCAAATGTGCCATCATAAAAGAGCAAAAAAATGAATAGATGGAATGAAAATAAAACTGAGTCACACGTGGGCATATGTGCAGCGCCGTCTTAGACATTGCTGAGACTAAATGTGCTGAAAATCTGTTTCTGGGAACTGCCTTTGTTGGCTGTGGGATGCACATATTTGATTGATGTTTCAGCTCAGCTGCCTCACATCCGTCAACTCCGCCTCCTCCTCGCTCACAAGACTCAGCTGCTGACGTTAGAGGAAAAAGACGTGCATTGTCTCTGTTCCTTTGTGAACCTGGCCGGACTTTAATAGCCAATACGCCACGTCAAGCTTAATCATTGTAGATATTGATTTCTTTGTGAGAGCAACAACCTCGGTGCCGTTGGGGGAAGGGGCAATCAGTGAGCAGTGCATTGCATGGTATTTGTCCTTCTGATGATTTTAACACGAAGGTAACATGCAGTGTTGTCAGGCTGTTAACTTCATTGTGTTGCTGGTATGAAGGAAGGGCAGCCAGCAGGCAGAAATAAAAGGCAGGCTATCTGTTTGTCATTCAGTCTGGCAGGTAGTCAATTTGTGAGTCGGTTAGCAAGAATGTGAGGCTGGCAGGGAGTGTATTCGATCACTACTCAGTCAACTAGTCAGCCAGCTTATTCAACTATCCAGTAAAGCAGTAAATACTGGATTGTCTGCCTGTAGGTGAGCCCCATTCATGCTGTTATGCTTTCCCTTGTTATACTGTTACAGCAAGGGAGGTTCAGATCAAACATAACCGGAGATTTAAATACAGAGGTCAGCTTATATGAAGGTAATCACTGTGAGCCAACAACCTGTGTTAAAT